AGCCCATATTCCCCACATACATGTGCACACACACATGCACACACACAACCCATATTCCCCACATACATGTGCGCACACACATGCACACACACAGCCCATATTCCCCACATACATGTGCACACACATGCACACACACAGCCCATATTCCCCACACACATGCGTGCACACACATGTACACACACACACCATGCACACACTCATACAGTTACATGCACAGACATTAATACACACACACACACACACACACACACACATTAAATAAAAACATCCTGTGAAAAGAATTCTCCGAGTCTGGGGCTGGAGAGATGGTCCAGCCATTAAGAGCACTCACTGCTCTTGCACAGGGCCTGGGTTCAGTTCCCAGCGCCCACATGGCAGCTCACTCTTTGTAAGTCTCATTTCAGGGGATCAGATACCTTCTTCTGGCCTCTGTGGTACCAGACACACACAGCGCATACACATACATGCAGACAAAACACTCTACACATACATAAAAACAAATGTCAGAGCTTTGAGCAGCTCCTTTCACAAAGCTCACATCTTAGAATAGCTGATCTTTCCTTGTCTTCAATATTACTGTCTAACTTCCTCGGGGGTGTTAGAGAATTGGAAGTGCTACAGAATAGCAGAAGCCAAACTCCACAGTTCAGTCTTGTGTTAGAGGTGCTCCCTGGCAGCTCGGGCGAGACAGGCACACACAGTAGGGCTCACTGTCATCCTTATCCTGTGCACTAGATAACGAAGTGCGGAGTGTACAGAGGGCACAAAGCCCATTTCAGCTGGGCCACGTGGGATGAGCAAGAGTTTGCCAGGCAGAAAGCAGAGAGACAAGGGAGAGTGGCTCCGGCCACCACGGGACACAGCTGCTGCACAGGGCTGGGTGCAAGTGGGTGGGTGTGGGGAGGAGATCTGGCAGCCGCCAGCTGCTGCTTGGTCCCATCTCTGTACGTCACTGCGCTCAGGCCCTGACTGCTCCATCCCAGCCTTGATAAAGGCTTGACTCTCAAAGGTGAGCATTACAGACGCAGCCTAACCGCTCTGACAGATGCAGGGCGCGGAGCCCCTGCGTGGTACGGAATGCGGGAGGCACCGGGGGCAGCCGGTGGTAACAGGAGCCACAGAAGCGTACGTCCTGCAAGGTCAGGGGGACAACGGGGACATGGAATCCTGAGCTTCTCCCCACCCTTCCCCGTAGGCTGGCTTCAGGGGGCTGCCCACGTCAGCCAGTGTGCGTGTCACCTGTGGTGGCTGCCACCAAGGCACGAAAGCAACTGAGCTATATTCTGTGGTAGTCCTGCAGGCCGCAGTCCCAAGATGAGGCTGCTGGCAGGGTCCTGCTCCCTTCGGAGGTTCTAGGAGAGTCATTCCCGGCTCTCCCACACTCCAGGAGTTCCCGGCCGCCCTGCAGCTCGCAGCTGCTCCGGTCTCACCGCTACTCCATCTTTGTGAGCTTCCAGCCCTCGTTTCTGTGTCCTCACTTCTCAGGTGGACACGAGCGCTGTCTGGATGGCCGCCTCACAGCTGCCTTCGCTAGCGACCACCGAAATGACGGCATTTCCATACACGGGTTTCAGGAACACATGGCTTTGGAAGGAATAGAGATGCTGCTCAAGACAGTTGGCATTTTCCTGACACCCCAAGAGGTTGCCAGGAGCCTGGACGCCGGCAGCTGTCTCCCACTTGGGGTGAGACACAGTTTCAAGGCACCTGTCAATACACACTCCTCAGCGTCTTGCACAGCGGGATGGAAAGATGTTGTTTCAGTCAGAGGAAGCACCTGCTGGACCTCAGCTGTGTTTGGGGTGAGCAGCAGTGGGGATCTGGTCAATACAAAGCCCGAGGCCACCTGCAGCCAAGGGCTTGTAAGCATGTGTACTGAGAATTTTGTAATCTTTGGTGTATTTAAAAAGCACAGGCATATTATGGGAATATGTTTTCATTTTAATCCCAGGTGTGGGAATAAGAGGCTGCTTCACAGCAGGTGACTACGATTTGCCTTGTGCTCTAGCAGGGGTGTGGTTTTGCCAGCTGCAGATCATTTCTGTGTGTGATGTTTGGAATTCTGAGAGCTTTCAGAGGCTATGTAAATGCTCAGGCCCCTGAGAGGCAGGGTTGGGTGTTACTGGTTGCAGTTTGTCAAGCAGTTACGTGCAAAGAAATAAGAAGACGACATTAATATCCTAATGACGAAGATCAAACTTGCTCCAAGGAACTGGATACTTCTAATCAGCAGGAAGTGGTCTAATGATAACGTCGCCCCTTTCCTCTATCCTTTCTCTCCTATCTAGTGTTAGGGGGTGAAAAGGTACGGAGGGAGAAGGGTGGAAGAAAAGGAATCCGCAAAGTAGCCAAAGGGCTGCTTACAGGTGTGTTTACTCATCCAAAGCTGGGCCCAGAACAGCTGTGACTCACGACTATTTGTCACACGCCGGCGCTCGGATCTTCTACCTGTAAGGGTGGTCCTCACTCCTGCGAGATGGGCTCCAAGCATTCCTCTGCTCTTACTACATGTACCGTGAAAAGACAAGGCAGTTAGGCAAGCAGACAGCAGTCAGGACATTTGTTGTCTGGACCACGATGCCTCGGTAAATCCTTGTTTTCCCCATCTACACAGTGGGAACACAACACAGACTTTAACATTCCAGCTACTTGGAGCTGAGGTGGTTCCCGTGGATCCACGCATTTGAGAACACCCTGGGCAACATAGCAAGATCCTATGCCCCAAAGCCCATGACGACAAGCAAGAGACACAGACCACAGCCACCTTCCCAGCACTGCACTCTCCATGGGTCTGGCTCCACGCTAGACCTGGACATTGCTGGCTACTGTTTACCTGCAGGCAGGCAAGTGGTGGGGCAAGCTCTTCTACGCTCATGCCCTTGGGGCTGGCTCGCTTGCCCCCCCCCCCCCCCCCCCCCCCCCCCGGGTCAGCTCTACTGTGCCGCCCAGACAAGGAGCGGGGTTGCTCTCCTGAATGCTGCCGCTGCCGAGGGACAGGGACAGCTCTCCTGCTCTCATGACCCCAGGGCCAGGTCTCCCACCTGCTGAAGCTCGTGAGGGGAGAGGAGGAAGGAGTGTATCTCTGCCTTGTCCATGTCACCACAGTGACATGAGTGGTGAGCCAGCTCTCTCTCTCTCTCTCTCTCTCTCTCTCTCTCTCTCTCTCTCTCTCATATCCTCAGGGCTGTCACCCACAACTCCCCATGATGTGAGACCCATCTGTCTTGGGCTCCCTCCTGTCTGGGGCTGCTCCTCCACATAGGGGTTCTTTTGTCTCTGGCTCGCTCCCAATCCTGGGATCAGCTCTCAACTGTTTAGCGATGTTTGGATCCCACAGGGGAAGGCGGAAAGGTGCTTCATTTAAATCCTGTTTACTCCAGCACTGCAGCGGCCAGATCCCACGAGCCATTCATCAAATGGTCTGGAGCCCGAGGCCCTTCCTCCCGGCTAAATTTAGATCTTTAATAAGCTGTGGAGCAGGAGCCTTTTCCCGGCAGAGGGCTGGTTACTGATCCGGGACAGGCACATGAAAAACGCCAAGCTGTCTGCGCCCCTTCCACACACATGGGGATACAGAAGGACGTTCGCAGGAACCTCTTCCTTTCTCAGGGACCCAAATCCAGGCTTTAGACCTTAGCTATCACTTTCCCACCCTCTCATGAGAGAAAACACACACACAACCAAATGGTTCTTGTGTGTAGGGAGGCTGCATCCATGTCCCCAGGCAGCCATGCTTACAGGCTGGAGGGCCCTGTGCAGCCGCGTCCGAGAAGCCAAGACAAACACCTGACACTGAGTTTCCAACAGGTACCAGGGAGGCGGGGGGCATGGATGTCCTGAGTGTAGGCACCACACTCGGTCCACACCCTCCAGGACGCTGAGGGAAGGGCTTCTGCCACAGCTGTCCATCAGCAGTCTAGGCGGCATTCCTGAAGCTCAGACTGTCGGCAGCTCTGTCTAACCTCAGTCCGTCTCAGCGGTGAAGTGGGCGCCCAGGCCTCAGCCACATAAAGACAAGGATCGGAGAAGGCGGCTCACTCTCCCAGTGTGGGACAACTAAGTGGGCGTCAAGCCAACTGCAGAGTAGCTTCAAAGCACACCTGGCTGCCTGGCCCCCGCCTCCCAGCCTGGCCTCTTCTCCTTTAAGTACCAAGCTATTCTCGGACCCTAGGTGCCCAAGGTCTCTGTCAGGAGCCACCACAGCATCTTGCATTTTCAGACGTTTACCATCATTAATTCTCTTGGGCATCATTAATTCTCTTGGGCACTCCTGTTCCTGAGGCCTTCCCTGCACCACAAAGCAGACAAAGCGCGCTGAGCATCCCTGTGTCCTGCTGGATTCTGTAGGT